TTTAGGGAGATTCTAATATTAATTACTGAAATTTCTACCTTAAGAAGCTAGGAGAAGAAGAGGTAAATAAATCCAATGTAATTGGAACCTAAAACTGATTAAATATGAGTGCAATCGTAAAGAAAGCTTTTTCTGAGAAAAGGAAGTTGAATGTTCTGCAAAGATTTATGAAATGTCACTTTAAAAAGTGCTGTCACAGCCCTAGCTGGTTTGGCTCATTGGATAGAGCATTGGCCTGTGGACTAAAGGGTTCCAGGTTCGATTCCGGTCAAGGGCACATGCCTGGGTTGCAGGCTCGATTCCCAGTGGGGGGCATGCAGGAGGCAGTCAATCAATGATTCTCTCTCATCATTGATGTTTCTATCTCCCCTCTCCCTTTCTCTCTGAAATCAATAAAAATATATATTTTTAAAAAGTGCTGTCACATTAGGTATAAGCAAGGCAGCTGAAAAGACAGGGATATTTGGGGGAGGAGGAATCCAGAAGAATTCTACATTCCTATGTCTTCCCTAAAGGTACCAAAGCAGTGTGGGTGTGCTCAGCCCAAGGAAGACAGTGGAGCCCTCCACGTCAGCAGAGAAGAGTTGGGCCTCCTGTACACATTAGTCCCATCAAGAGACAGAAACCACACAGACATTTAATCGGGGCTGCTTAATGTTATTAATGTTATTATCTAATGACATGGGATTAACTCTAAAGGGCAACAAGAGCTGTGAAGAGCCCCTGAGGCTGAGGGAGGGCACCAGGAGAAAGAAACCTCAAAGGGGGTCCCCTCCCTAGCTCCCACCAGGATGGGTGTGTGAATGTGCATTTACATATGTAAAGCAAAAATAAAACGTTCGGAGATGTATGACCATTCTTTTTAGTGATAATCTGCTTTAACAAACCAACTACCCGTCCTGATCACTCAGAGCTGAGGGAATTTAGAACACACAGTCGACGCTAAAATCACCGGTGAGGGCCTTGAGCATCATACATCTCACACCCTGAGTCCAAAACGAACCCCTCAGCCAAGCCCTTCCCTGATTCCTGACTCACGAATTGTGAGCAAAATAGTGTTTTTAAGCCACTAAATTTGGGGATAGTTGGTTATACTAGGTATAGTAATAGGTCAAATTGCTACATAGCAAAGAAAATGAATGAACTGCAGCTGTGTGTAACAGTATCGATGATTAACAAGTAAGTCAGAGGAAGACAAAATGTGTGACTCCATTTCTGTAAAGTTCAGATACATGTATAACAAGTACTTACTGTCTAGGGAGTCAACATGTGGCAAATACAAAGAAAAGGAGGGGACTAATAATGAAGTTTGGGAAAGTGCCTGCCTCTGACCGGTCACAGGCATATGCAGGAGACGTCAGAGATGATGGCAACATTCTTTTCCTTAAACTGCTGTATCGTGATATTTTATATCTTCTATAATGTAAGCGTTCTTTTGTGTCTCTTCATATTTAATTTAAAAACTTTTAAACAATTGCTTATTGCTGAAAGCAAATAACTTTCTCACAAAGATGGGGAAATGTCTGCCTCTCCCACAAGACCTAGGAGATGTAGCTCACACAGGACGGATCTTTGCGCCGCTGTCGGAAAGGGGTGTGGCAGCCCTGTGTGGTGTGGGAGGTTCTCACTGGACTGGAGACTGACAGGAGACCTGTGGCTGGAGCACCAGATGTCACAGCGCAGGCGTGTGGCTCCTCCCCTCCGCAGGGCAGCCCAGCTCCTGCTCCTGTGGGGTCAGTTTTCTCCGCCTCCGCCTTGGAGCTTCCTGTCTATGGCCCTTTGGGTGGTGGGAGCAAACCCAGGATGTGGACAGTGGAGTTGAATTCATACCAGGAGGGGAATCGGCAGGACTGGGGTGTGAGGGTTGCACGGTCATGGGCCACCAAGGGGCAGTCCACCCTGGCCCTGCTCAGCCCCTCCAGAAAGTAGTCACCTCAGTTGGCCTTGGACCCTCTGATTCTGGAACTTTCTGTCATGAAGATCATTCCTGGGGCTCAAAACACTGACCCCAGCTGCACACCTTTAGGCCACACCTCAGGTTGAATTTCTCTCTCTGATGGCCACTGGGTTCCCTTCACTGCCAGGCTGGAAATCTCACCATTGCTGACTGAGAGGCCAGGCAGTGTCCTGCGTCTTCATGTCCAGTGGTGGGAGGTCACTGGTCACTCAGCAAGGCGCGGGCCCACATCTGCGGCCACCCACACCAGTGGTCACTGGCTCGCCCCAGGGGCCTGGGGTAACCATACTCTCTGACCTGCTCTGAGGCCTCAGATTCCTCGGGAGCATCTGAAATCTGGGCTGGGCTCCAAGCCCAGAGATGTTTGTGGTATTTTTACCTGTCAGAGCAAAGTTCGGGGGGAGCTGGGATCCAGCAGTGCAGTGATCTGTGTGAGGAATTTCTAGTGGCTCAGGAAATGCTGATGAAATCATGCTACATGTGAAATCAAGATGCGCAGCTGTACTTGTGATGTCATCTCAACCATTAAAAATGCACAGAAAAAACAATGAAGTGAAGCACGTAAATGTCCACAATGCTGACCTGGGGGTTGGTCTTGGGATTATTTTATTCTTTCTTTTTTTCTGGATTCTCCAGTATGCAATGCACAGTATTCTTTTTTCAATATGAAAATGTTAATTTTTAATTAAATGTGGCCACAGGTGTGAGGGCGCTTGGCAGGTGCCCAGTAAATGCCAGCGGCACCTGCACCAGAGGCGCCCTGTGCTGCCCTCCTCGCAGGCCGTCCACCTCCGCTCCTCGTCCGCTCCTCCTTTCTGTGTAACATGCACGCGCACAGCGAGCTCATAAGTCAGCAGGGACATATCTAATGAGACCTTCATGCTTAAGAACACACTGGTGTGTTTGAGATATAATTTTCAAAGTAAACTCCAGATATATGAAATATTAAATATATTTTTTTAAACCTGAACCCTTAGAAAAACTAAATAAAATAAATGTGAAAGGCAAACTTTAGTAAGATACCCAGTTCTAAGTTTTAAGGCAATAGATGATATCACCAAAAAACTCAAGAAATGAAACTTGCATAGAATTTAAACTTCTATAGAGAGGAAAAGAACTTAACTAAACCATGAAGCAAATGACCTGGGAGGAATATGTGCAGCAGTAGATAGATTACAGAAACATTTGCTCATGGGAAGTGCAGAAAATTGTTAAAAAATTTTAAAAACCCACGGTACCTCATAAGGCAAAAACAAGACAACAGTTGGAGCAAAAATACATATAGAATATTTACAGGAAACAAACATCAAAAAAGGGTTGACTTCACTGTCACATATATGTGAATTAAAGCAACAGTATTCCACAGTATACACACCAATTTAGAGAATGATTTCTTTTTAAAAAAAAATATATATATTTTTTTTACTGATTTCAAAGAAGAAGGGAGAGACAGATAGAAACATCAATGATGAGAGATAATCATTTGGTTGCCTCCTCCTGTGCGCCCCCACCAGATAGAAACATCAATGATGAGAGATAATCATTGATTGGTTGCCTCCTGCATGCCTGTCACCGGAGTTCGAGCCCGCAACCTGGGCATGTGCCCTGACTGGGAATCGAAACGTGACTTTCTGGTTCATAGATCAACGCTCAACCACTGAGCCACACCTGCCGGGCTAGAGAATGATCTTATGGCAGAGCCTCATGCTGCTGAATGATGGCAAACCTGTTACAGTGCCACTGTTGACAGTGTGTCTCCTTTGAGGGCAAATTGGTCAAAGTGGGAAGAATCATACAAGATGTTCATAACCTTTGATCCTGGAATCCTAATCCCAGAAACGTATCCTAAAACAACCATTTACAGGAAAAAGACACTGTATCATGTAATTGTTCTTTGCATTTATTGTTTAAATAGAAAAAGAAGCATCGTAAATTTATGAAAACAGAGGAACAGTTAAGTAGCCATCAAGATGGTAACTGAGAGTGACATAGAGAAATGTTTGCTAAGGTGACTGCAGATGAGAATGTCAGATTACATCTATGCTATTGTTACAGTTTAGAAAAGTTATTTCCTATATGGATAAGGACAAAGAAAAGTTTAAAATCTCTTGAGATCTATTGGGTTGAGATTTTTCTTTTTCTTTTCTCTATTATTGTAATGACGTGTATGCTGTAAGGCAGTGCTGGGATGGGGAAAAGAAAGTTGCAAAGCACAATATTTTGGAACTAAACTCTGACTGTGGAATGTGGTTTCATGTTAGAACGTGTACCTGAAGCTTCTGACAAGTCAGGGTCCCACCCCTTGTTCCCTAGCTGCTGGACACTCCCATGCCCCATGCAGACGCAGCCCATGTTTGTGTCTCGTCCATCCGGAAGTTGAAACCTTTTCTAGATCAAGTTCTTTTCAAGAGTGCTTAAGAACTCTCCTGGTAACCGACAGCTTGCTGTAGGCTTCATTGACTCCTTAATAAGTAGGAACCGCCCATTCCATTATGTGGGAGTTGGAGGCCGATATTGGTGTCGTGCGCAGGTCCCACATTTTCTCACTGTGCCTCCCACCCTGTGATTCTAGAGTCCATGCTCTTTGGAGGGAGGGGGGGGGGGGGGC